ACAACAGAGAATTCTCTAAAACTATAGGAAAGGGAACTGAGGCATCAAATAAGCCTCTTTGTTTGGGAATGGTGAGGACTGGAGATGCGGGTGGGCTACAAGAGAATGGGGAACATTTCTGTGGGCCACGTTTCCCACCATAAGGCCAGGAAGGAGGAGGCATTGAAGGGGGCTGGTCACACACCACTTTTCTTGCCTCTGACCTGGGCTTCTAACCTGAGCATTACTATGTGGTACAAGATTGGGACACCAAAGAAAGTATTGTGGGCAATGTATCACAATAGCAAGCCACTGTCTTGTCATTCCATGTAGATGTAGAGACAGAAAGAGGAAGGGATGGGGACAGAGAGGGAGGTGAAGGGGGAGATATCTCAGTAGAATTGGTTCTGATATTTCTGGGTCCTAAAATGGAAGAAGACAGATTGGCTTTTCTTGATTATCTCTGATCAAGGTCATACTGGTCAGATCTGATCAAGGACAAGTGAGTTTTGAATGACATGATTTCTGTCTGGGACTATTTCAGTCTCATGAAAAATAAAATTAAAAAAAATAATTCTTGACCTATAAGTACAATTAGTATTTATAGATATCTGTTGATTTCATCATAAAATGAACACGTGACCACATGGTCATACAGACGGAACTGGCTTCCGTCTTGCCTTTCAGCTTTTATAAAGTAGTTTTAGAACAAGCAGATTCTCAAAGGATTTCAGAGCTGCTCCAGCAATGAGTTGGAAAATCTGCCCTGTGCTGGGAGGCAGAAGAGGTTTTTGTATCTCTTTGAATTTTTAAACTATTCAAGCCCAAGTGGCATATGCAGATCTAACTGGGGGAGAAGTGTGGTCTGTTCACTCGGGACACATGGTCCAGCAGAGCAGAATGAACACAAAGACAACAAGCCCGAGCCAGGGGGTTGGCAGGCCCCTCCCTTCACAGCCAGTGGAGCACATGCCCAGCACACACACAAAACAGCATGTATTTTTAGAAAAGAGAGCACTTTCTAATTAGAAAATAATTGTTACTTCTTTTGGCATTCTTTTTCATAAGAATCTATTGGAACCATTTGCTATTAGGGGGCTTGTCAGAAGTGCGCCTGGGGAGGCGCTCGTATAATAAAGACAACATGAAATATAACACAAGCTCTCCATCCACGCATCCAAAACCAGACGTCTCCAGAACATGATGCCCACTGGCAAGAAGTCATGGTTTCCCTGCCATTCTCATTAGTGATAAACCTGCAGTTAGAAACACAGGCCCATTTGGTGTTGTCATCTGCCCATCTCAGAGCTCCATCCCTCCATGAAATCGAGACACTTACATGTATATGGCCACCCTGCAGGCATCAGAAAGGTACAAAATCCCCACCTGGACCCACAAGGCTGTCCTGGCTCTTAGCTCAGTGTCTTGGTTGGGACTTCATTGTGTTTTTAGACCTACTATCAACATTAGGGAGCCCTGGTGGCATAGTGGTTAAGAGTTCGGCTACTATCCAAAAGGTCAGCAATTCAAATCCACCAGCCTCTCCTTGGAAACCCTGTGGGGCAGTCCTACTCTGTCCTATAGGGTCTCTAGGAGTTGGAATCTACTCAACAGCAATGATTGTTTTTTTGTTTTTTTTTTTTGTATCAACGTTACTGAGCCCTGGTGGAGCAATGGTTAAATGCTTAGCTGCTAACCGAAGGGTTGGCAGTTTGAACCCACCCAGCGGCTCTGTGGGAGAAAGACCTGGCAATCTGCTCCCATAAAGATGACAGCCAAGAAAACCCTACGGGGCAGTTCCACTCTGTCACGTGGGATCTCTAGGAGTTGGAATCGACTCTATGGCACATGACAACAACAAAAAGAAAACATTGTACACTTACGGAGACAAATGGGAAAATCAATGGAAACAGGCCTTGCTGCAAACTGGGCTAAAACAATAGCAACAAGACCCCAGAAGAAGCTCTTTGGTGTAAGAGAGCCGACTGTACACACCCGTCATTTGGCCGCATCAGGAAAACAGCCATTGACCTCACAACAGGCAGGGCCGGGTGGCTACACAGATGGCAAAGCAGTCCCACATGAGGCCGCTCCTAGAAGGCTGGCTGGGACAAGTCCCACTGCCATTGCCCCTCCTGTCCCTGCTTCTCCAAATGTTTTTAAACAGGTGAAATCTGATTAGAATAAACAATAAGGGCACTTTGAGGAAAAAAACAAAAACAAAAAACAATCTGGGCATTGTAAAACGAGGAAGGGATAACTCCACCCAAAAAGAGGCACTGCACTGGCTGACAGCAAAACATAAAATCTGAGAATAGAAAATCCGTTCCGTCCACTGTCTCTCCAAGTCCAGACTCAAAGCCATTTAGAGGGGAAGAGGGTCACAGGATGACTTGGGCTTTTCATTTTATACTTCACTATATATTTAAGCTTTTCAAATACTTGTGTTGACATTTTTTTAAATTACAAGTTATTATTAAAAAAAAAAAGTACTCAAGTCTGTTGAGAGGGCTTTGGTCACACTCACTCTGATGTATATGTAAATGCAAATTCTAATCAAAATGTGCCCTTTGTCTTTGCTATTGTGTTACTTCCTAGAACTCTGCTGTTAAATACATCTATCTGCAGGATCTCTATGCGGAATGCAGGCTACTGGCTGCCTTGTAGAAAAATGAGGATTTTAAAATCTGTAAGCCAGGGGGATAACTTCAGAAGATAGGCTGGAGGTGGCAGATTTTCTGAAAAAGATGAAATGTGACTAGCTGGAGTGTTTTCTCCTCCAAATCCCTTTTTTAAACAAAAATCCTGCCTATGTTCCCTTTTCAAAAAAAATCAAAACTGTGGGCCTGAGGAGAATGATATTTTAAAGCAGGAGAATCCAGGAGTCTTTTATTGGAGCCCATCCCAACTGTCCCTGGGTTGTCAGTGTTACTTGCAGGAGCTACTCACCGTTAAGGCAGTTCCTTCCGGTTGCAGGGCTGCTGCAGGACTCAATGCTCTTCTTCATGTATCAGAATCGAAGAGTAGCTGGATTCTTCCTCTGGTGATGTTATTTGACCTCGAGGAGGTCTAATCGCTCCCCTCGACATTTCAGGACCCTCCCACCCATGGTCTAGACTGGCCACTCAAGTGTGGTCTCCGGTAAGCCAGCATGGGCATCCCCAGGGAGCTTGTGAGAAATGCAGAATCTCAGGCCCTGCCCCTAACCTCCTGCATCAGAACCTGAATCTTTATAAGATCCCCAGGTGGTCACCAGAAGCTCTGGTGGCGCAATGATTAAGCACTCACCTGCTACGGCAGTTCCAACCCATCCAGCGGCTCCATTGGAGAAAAGACCTGGCTATTTGCTCCCATAAAGACTGTTGTTGTTGTGTGCCATCCACTCGGACCCTATAGAACAGAATAGAACTGTCCCATTGGATATCCTAGGGTGAAAACTTTATGGGAGCAAATAGCTAGGTCTTTTCTCCCACAGAGCCGTGGGTGGGTTCAAACTGTCAACCTTTCGCCAATCTTCAGCCGAGCGCTTAACCATTGCACCACCAGCGTTCCTTCCCGTAAAGACTACAGCTTAGGAAACCCTATGGGACAGTCCTACTCTGTCATACAGTGTCGCTCTAAGTCAGAATTGACTCAAAATCACACAATAACAACCACAACCAGATGATTTGTGTGCACACTCAAGTTTGAGAAGCATTGATCATGCTGCTCACAGACAGCCTTCCTGGATATGGTCAGGGAGTCGTCGAAATCAGTCTTAGAAAACAAAATGCTGATGCAGTAACAGATATTCTCACACAGTGTAGATGCTATCGCTGTCCCTGAGCTGTCTTTATCCCGTTTCCTCTTGTCCAGTGTAAACAGCGGCCGTCTTCTCTGCAGCTGGGCTTGGCCTCAACTGGTAGGGAAGGAAGCTCTGTGTGTGAGGACTGGTGGGGGCAGGGCAAGGGGAGAGGAGCTGGGTCCCCTTTGAGGTGGTTGCCCAGCCACGATTTGAACACATCTTCTGGTGTAATCCAATATGGCTCAGTCCTGGGCTTAGGGAGCAAAGTAGAAAATGATGTAAAGAATGGGGGGTGGAGGAGGGGAAACACAGAATTAAATATTTTGTGCTCCAGTAAACTTATTAGGAAATTACTAGCTGCCGTTGAGTCAATTCTAATTCATGGTGATCCCATGTGTGTCAGAGTAGAATCGCGCTCCACAGGATTTTCAATGACTGATTTTTTGGAGTAGATTGCCAGGCCTTTCTTCTGAGGTGCCTCTGGGTGGGCTTGAACCTCCAACCTTGTGGTTAGCTGCTGATCTCATTAACTGTTTGCATCACCCAGAGACTCCATTAGGAAATTGTTGTTGTTTATTATGTTAGTTGCTGTGGAGTTAATTCTGACTCATAGTAACCCCACATGTACAGAGTAGAACTGCTCCATAGGGTTTTCAAGGCTGTGACCTTTTGGAAGCTAAATTCTAAATCCCAGGGGAACTTAAAATATGGCACAAATTCTAAAGAAAAAGTGTCATGATGACATATGCATCTTATACTTTTGGTTTAAATATGAATTTAATTAAACAAAAAATGGTAACTAGATAGGGGAATAATGATGAGAAGTGGCCTTAATTTTTGGAAACCATCTCCAGCAACAATACCATATTTAACACTAGGGCAAAAACTCAACCCAGTGAAGGAGTTCACGTGTTCTGTTTCCATTGAAGCTGCATGTCATCTAGAAGTCCCGAGGTTAGGAATGGGGATGGGGAAGGGTTTTGGCTGTGGACAGGTCCTGCTCAGCACCAAGTCCTTGACAACACAACCACGTGCAAATACACAAATAACGTGAGGCTGGTGGAAATGCTAGGCGTGTATACAAAGAGTGAACTGTCTTTGAGACTGATAACTGATTCACTCTCAAAGAGTCTGGTGGCAAATCCTGTTCCAAAATCATCTCAGTGGAGATAGCAGGTGACGGGTTTAGAAGCATCTTGGAGCACAGTCAACTGGGAATAAGGACTGTCACACCACTCACTGCAGATCATGGAGTCTCTCTGTATGTTTGCATAGTTTCACTCACAAGATGTGTGTGCTGCTAGCCGGCAACTGTTCGTTACTAAGAGCTGTCAGGTCTTCTTCTCTGCTGGGGTCCCACGTGCTACTTTCTTCACAGTTGTGGAGATTGGCTGAACTTTGCTTTTCCCAACAACACTTGGCTTCTTCTGTTTCTGGCTGTTGTTCTGAAGGGACTTCAGCCCCAGCATTTTACAATACTTGTTACACTGATGCAGTGCTTTAAACTGGTCGATGAAGGTCATGGAGCAGTTGCCTTTAAATCCTTTGTACCTGGGAGTTTGGGTGGAAGGAAACATAATGTTTTAAATAGGACACTTCACTAGTTTTAAAAGAAAAATTTAAAATTTAAAAAATTAAAAAGAAAAGTTTGAAATGGTGCACAGAAAATCTCTTTATTCCATATTTAAGCAAGAATGGCCAAATGGTTGATACAACTAACAATCAAAGAAAAAGAAAAACAAAAATTGTGGAATTAAATGACACTGCTGAGTGAAATAAGCCAGTCACAAAAGGACAAATATAGAGTGTTTTGTTATCTATATTTTTACAACAATAAACAAGGACAAATAGTGTATGATCTCACTTGTGTGAAATATCTAGACCAAGCAAGTGTACAGAGATCAAAGTTTATTTGTGGTCACCAGGGGCGGGAGGGAGGGAGGCAGAACGGAAGACGCAATGTTTAGGGGACACTGAGCTTCTGTTAAGGGTGATGGAAAAATTTAGGAATGGTTAATGGTGATAGTTGAATAACATGATGAACATATTTAATGTCACTGAACTGTAAATGTGAAGATTGTTGAAAATGACAAATGCTTTGTTTTCTATATATTTACCACAATTTTAAAAAATCATTTAAAAAAAGCCCATTGGTGACATTCAACTGACCTGAGAGAAATGAAGAGAATTATGACAGAATATTATGAATGACTGTATGGCAACAAATTGGATAACATTGATGAAATGGGGGAAATTCTTAGAAGCACACAATCTACCCAAACTGACTCCAGAGGAAATAGAAATTCTCAGCAGACCCATGACAAGTGAAGAGATTGAGTCAATGCTCAAAAACCGTCCAACAAAAAACAGTCCTGCACCAGATGGCTTCACTGAGGAATTCTACCAAACATTTAGAGAAGAATTGACACCAATACTATTTAAACTCTTCCAAAAGATAGATAATTCACTCTGTAAAGCAAAAATAACCTGATACTCAAACCAGACAAAGGTGCCACAAAAAAGGAAGCTATAGACAAACATCTTTTATGAATACAGATGCAAAAAATCCTCAACAAAATACTAGCAAACAGAATCCAACAGCATATTAAAAGAGTTATACACCATGACCAAGTGGGATTTATTCCAGGAATGCAGAGATGGTTCAACATTAGAAAATCAATCAACATAATACACCACATCAATAGAACAAAGGGAAAGAACCACATGAATCGACTTGATGTCAACTAATATCTTCTCTTGCAGGAGACCAAGAGAAAGGCTGAGACGTCAGCCTGTCTGTGTTCCCAACCCTGAACACTCCTTTGAGGACACTAGGCCACCTGGGCCTGTTTGTCAGACATGAGAGAAAGCTTATCCCACTCTTCTGCTAGGGGAAGTCCACTCCTAATATCTGAATCCCTGAGCTTCTCAGACAAACAGAATGTCACAGAGGCACTGCCTCCCTGTGTAAGCACATTGGAAACACATCCCAGGCATCTGTGTCAGGACGGCCTTGAAGCTTGACATTGAGGCAACACCTAGTCTCTGCGGAGAAAAGCAAACAGTTCACACCAAGGCCTCCCAGAACATTCGCCATCAGCCCCCTAAAGCAGTGCCTCACGGCCTGGTGTGGAGTGCTGGGCAGCCCTGAGCCTTGTAGAACTGTCCCCACCATCTGTGATGGGAAAGATCAGTTTGGCCACAGGATCATGACTTCTGGCAGCCTAGCAGGGCCTGCCCTCTTCAACAGCCCCTGAGGACCTGACCTCGTCCCGGGATCCCGGCTTTTCTCTGCCTCCACACCCTTCTTTCTGTAGACTCCTCATGGAAAGCCACAAGCCAAGGAGGGGATGTAGGAGAGAAAACACCCATCAAACAGGCAGTCTACTCTTCATCCATTGTTCTAAGCCTTGGTGTTCTGATTTCCAAAGAACCAGCCTCATTTTGTCTACAGACGGAGAGCCCCTCTGGGCTATGGGGCAGGCAGTTAAGGCCAGGGAGAAGAGACCCACATTTTACCATTCACAAGAGCATCTGGCCCATTGTACATGGTAGGGTGAGGGCGGGGTAGGGGCAAGGCCACGTGTTCAGTATTGGGAAGCTCTGCTTGAGGGGCCTTCCTTATGTGACAACCTCTGACGTCCTCAGGGAGGGGGTTCCTCGCTCTGGAACGTCACTCCACAGCTAGTCCCTATTTCTTTGCTTCTCTGCAGGCTCCTTCCCTTCTGCCTTCAAGCAGCACTCTAGCTCCCTTTAGACAGACACATGCACACACATCTCCTGTTTTTTTCTAGCTACTTTCTAGACCATTTCTTGTCTTCTTGACAAGTTGGGAGTCCCTGGGTGGTGCAAATGGTTAAAGTGCTTGGCTGCTAACTGAAAGTTTGGAGGTTCAAGTCCACCCAGAGGCTCCTCAGAAGAAAGGCCTGGTAATCCTTTTCCCAAAAAATCAGCCATTGAAAACCCTACGGAGCACAATTTTACTCTGTCACACATGGGGTTGCCATGAGTCACGGCTGTGACTCCACAGTGAATGGTTAGTGCTAAGCTTGTTACATCCCAGGCATCTTAGCAGCACGTTTCCTCTTCAATCCCTACAACCCACCACTGCATTCTGCTCAGACTTCCCTGAAGGCACTGATAACTTTTTCTGGATAAATCTGGTCTTCACCTAGTCTTATCCCGTCAGGCTCCTCTGACACCTCTTGGCCACACCAATACCGGCTGGTGGCCTCACTGAAGGTGTCCTTTGTGTATTATCATCTGTCTCCCTCCTACTGTTTACGAGGGTATCCTGCAGGGGGCGACCTCGAGTCCACCAGTCTTCCCTCTGGGCATTCTTTCTGTTCTTACTCACCTCCTGAAGCCTGGCTGAATCCCTAGGGTCCTGGAAGGGGCTGGGCAGGGGGATAGCTAGGGAGAAGGGTTGGGGAGTGTGAGGAACCACGTGACTCCCCACCCCAGTCACTTCAACAGAACTGTCCTTTGCAAGACTTTTGGGTGAGGCGAAGAGACTGCCAAGCTATCTGCAGTCTGTGGAGGGGGTGTGCCCTGGTGGACTGTCAGGCCCAGGAGACCCTGAACACACACTAGGAACAATGTTTGTAGTGTCAGCCTTGCTGAAGCTGTGAATCTGGTCGATCTTCCCTTTGTGGACCTCCAGACCTTCTTGATGGCAAAGACTGGCTAATAACTCGGCCAGCAGGCCACCTGGCTCTGCCACATGATGGCTTGATCGGACAAAAACAGGATGCCGGCAGCCCTCCGGACTAGGTGACAAGGATAGGAACTGTAGGCAATGTGGCAGTATGGGAAGGTAGATATTTTGACAGTAAAAGTGCCTTTCCCACCTCCTTAGGCCTGTGAGGCTGGTACTTTGAATCTTGGCATTCTAAATGTTGTGTGTTACAGGGGCCCTGTCATGAGATGCATTTAAAAATATACCAGGAAATTCTGTTCTGAGGTCCCTTTGTTTCCTCCCCTCCTGGCAGATTCATGCATCCCTTTGAAGTCTGCCTAGAGTTACCGTGCATGCTCACACACACACACACACACACACACACACACACTCAGACACACATTCACATACACACACAGACACAGACGCACATACACTCACATGCATCTATACATGTGCACACACATTCACACACGTGTGCACATGCACACTCACACACACGCACACACATGCATACACACATTCACATGGGTGTGCATGCACACTCACATATGCACACGTGCGTACATGCATACATTCACGCACACACACATTCACACACCCCTATGCTGGGGCCGTGCTTCTTGACCATTAGAATCCACTTCCTTCCATCTACAAGTTTGTTTGGGTCCTTCCTCTGCAGGTACGGTCATAGCGAAGGGATTAAGCATCCAGGAGCAGGTGTGCCCTGTCTGCCGTGGGCACACAAGGGCTCTGCAGTGGGCTGCACTTGGTGTGTAGGGCAGAGCCTTTTTTCTGAAACTCAGCTCAGCCGAAACTGGGAGTCTGTTTTCATCTCTCCTCTTTTCATGGCTCGGAGGACCAGAGCCGGGCACGCAGATGCCCCTGGAGCCTGCATTCTCAAGGTGACTGTCCTTGTCACGCCTCGGCCTTCATAACTGGGCCCTTATCCCCTCACGTTTTCCCCTCCGCTGGGGACAAATCAGTCACGACTTTGTCCAGGGTCTCCTGAATTTGGTTTCCACGTCATGGATGCCTGACCCGTGCCCTGAACCATTTTTCTTCTGAGGGTAGAAAAGCATAACGCCGGCCGGTGGCCACACTGAGGGTGTCCTTTGTGGCTATTCATAGCAATCCTCTTTTGGTCTAATGCTTACTAACTGGGAAAAAATACGCTCATCGTACTTGTCTTTGTTTTACTTCAATCCAGCAACAGGAAATCGGCTTTTTTGGCGGCTACAGAGGGAAAAAGTATTGACTTCTGGTGCCCTCTGGTGGCGAGATTACAATCTAGCCATCTCCCCAGAAACGCAGCTGCTAACCCAGGAGGACTGGGTTGAACACAGGTAGGACTGACCCCAACACAGGTAGGACTGGCCCCCTGCACACAGTGGTTTAGACTGGTTTTGGTTTGGTTTGGTTAAATTTCCAAATCTCCAGTTAAAGAATGAAGTATTTTTCTTTGTGTTAAATGGTCCAGTTAGCATCTTGGTCTACCTAGAAAATAAGTTATTGCTTATCAAACAATCCTATTTGCCATATACTCTGTAACTTAAAATTTTTGTATTCAACAATACCGAACGATTAAGGGTGTTAAGGTACCAGCCACAGGTTTCCAGATATACTCATATTGCTGGCTCCCAGGAGAAATATGATGCTTCTCTTTTAAGGATCAGCTAGCAGGTAAAATTGAATTAAAATGAGCCATGACTGTTGCCTATTGTTCTTTTATGAGATTATAAATAACTATCTACTCTCAAAATCGTATCATACCCTTCGACTTTATTAAGCAAACAATCAAGGCAAGTTGCACTTATGGGGGTGTCAGCAGCCAAAAATATGGCCAGGATTGAGACATGGGGAACATTTTGTTTAAATGATACGATGGCTCCTCTTCTCCCAAAAGACCCTGACCACTGTGGCCAAAAAGGGTGGACCCTCAAATTGGGAGATTTTTTTACTTCTGTTTTAAATATCACAGAGTAGCTGTTATCATTATTGGAGTCCTTGCATGAGGCAAATGGTTAACACACTCGGTTGCTAGCCGAAAGGCTGGAAGTTCAAGTCCACACCGAGGCACCTCGGAGGAAAGTCCTGGTGATTGGCTTCTGAAACATCAGTCATTGAAAAGCCTGCAGAGCACAGTTCTACTCTGACACACGTGGGGTTGCTATGAGTTGAAATCAACTTGACGGCAGCTGGTAATTTCCTCCAGTCAGAGAAAGTCTCCCTTTAATCACCTGTCCATATTGGGCTTCTAAGGAATATTTCTTTTGAGAAAACTTCTGTGGCTTAAAAGGAAAAGTTTAAAGAAAAGTTGGGGGAAAAAATGGACAAGATGATCTAATATCCCTTCAAAAGCTCTAAAACACTTCAGAATTCCCTTCTCTCCCATCTCCTCCACCCCGAGCTCTCTTTGGGAGGCAGGCAGTAAATAAGTTACACTTTACAGACAGCATTTCACACTGGGCTCCTGCCATCTACTCTTCTAATGGGTCTTGGGCAGCTGTCCCAGGCCAGATAAGTCACATTAAAGCTGAGAACAAAACCAAGGGATTGGATTTCTTTTTAAATCAGGGGGAAAAATGTGGCATTTGAAGCTCTCAGTTGGTCTGGGTTCCTGGAAGCTGCTGACATACTTTTAAAAGATGTCTTAAATAATCACACTCTTAAGCTTGTCTTAGTTTTTGAAACTTCTTGAGCAGGTTTCTGTTATGATTTGGTAGAAAGTTGCTGTAAATAAAGTTAGGAAATTTGCTCACTCTGGCGTTAGGCTGAGGCATGAGGGGAAAAAGGAAACCAAAATTTATTGAGCTCATACCAGGCTTTAGGGGCTAGATACAGATTAACTGAAGGATCCTCATGACCACCTCTTGCCTTTCCATTCTCTAGATCAGTGGCTTTGAACCTAAAATCATGTGCTCACAGTCACACAGCTGGTAAGACAGAAAAGCCAAGATTCAAACCAGGTCTGGCTGATGCCTGAATGGGCAATGTTCTGCAGAGAACACTGGAGTCCTTAAGGAAGGCTCCACTCAGGAAGACTTTCTGGGGTCCAGAGGCCTTCATAAATAGGGATGCCATATAATTTATCTTCTAAATGAGGACACTTGTTGTGGAGGTTAAAATTAACTTTACCCAGAGGATTTGGTCTTTGTCTTTGGTTCCTCGGAGATAAGCTCTAAAACCCTGGAAATTCCCAAGTGATTGATTGCCATTGATGAGAATTCCAGACCACACCTGAGGATTTATGCTAATGAGGTGACTCAGGTTGGGCTGGTCAGGCCAGCAAGACCACCACGACATGGTATCAGCTGACCTAAGGAGGTGATGGGAAGTGATTCAGTCAATCATGTCTACGTAACGAGGCCTCAGCACAAGCTGGGGACACAAGCTCCAGGGCCTTCCTGGTTCGTGACAGACATCCATACACATGGGAGAGTAGCGCCCTGTGGGACACAAACACCATGCATTCAGAATCCTCCCAGACCTCACCCTATGCATCTCTTCATTTGTATCCTTCTTCCTATAGTAAAACTGTAATTGGGAGTATAGCGCTTTCTGTGAGTTCTATGAGTCATTCTCAAACCCGAGTGAGTAGTGGGAGCCAGTAGGTCAGAAGTGAGGGGGCCTGGGAAGTCCTCAGCTTGTAGCTGGTATTCTAAGCAGGAAAAGGGAGCTCTGAAGTTTGTAGCCAGCAGGTCAGAAGCGAGGGTGTCATGGAGGTCTTGGGCCGACTCGGCAGTCTGGAGGACTGTGCCTTTAACTCATGAGGTCTGACCCAGCTCCGGGTGGTTAGGGTCAGAGGAAGAAGTACTGCATGTGCCGCTGGTGTCAGAACAGAAGTGGAATGGAACTGAATTGATTTGATTGACCCTTACAGTTTGGTGAGAGAAAGATGGAATTTGATTTTTTTTTTGTCCACACACTTGTCCAAGGCAAATGCTAAACTAGATGGGATGCTAGCGCATCAGGGATAAAACAGTTCTGTCCCAGGCAAATGGGATGTACGGTCACGATCTCATCAGGTAGGCCAGACAGGTTCTCATGACACCAAAAAGAACGGTACCAGCAGGAGAAGCAGAAGTTGGCGGCAGGGCAACGTCTCAAACCCCTGTCCTCCCCATTACATCCTACCCTTCCTGACATGCTCTCTTCCCAAGCCAAAGGCCACCACCCAGTTTCCTAAAGCACACGACCCTGGTCAGCACTGGGAGAGGAACACAGAAATTGTTCCAACACAGAGCTGTATTATGTCCCAGCAGTTTTTTAGAAGGAACCATGTCAGGGGAAACTACCCAAGCTGCATCCTGGTTTTAAAATCAAATCAGAAGCTTTGTGCAGTCAGAGAGAAATTTGAGAATCAAATTTAGGATCAGGAGATGAAAATCAAGAGTTGTCCCCTTTCCACTTTTTCAAATCCCTCTCCTTTCCTCCAAGGAGCCTTGGTGGTGCAGTGGTTAAGTGCTCGCCTGCTAACCAGAACGTCGGCAGTTTGGACCCACCAGCCGCTCTGTGGGAGGAAGATGTGGCAGTCTGCTTCTGTAAAGCTTACAGCCTTGGAAGCTCTATGGGGCAGTTCTACTCTGTCCTATGGGGTCACTGTGAGTCAGAATCATCTCAACGGCAATGAGTGTTTTGTTTGTTGGTTTTTCCTTTCCTCCATCCTTCCTTAAAGCCAAAAACTAGTACATCTATTAAAGCATAGCTGACATAGAGGGCCCGAAATGGACACTCACCTAGATGAACAGTTTCCAGCCATAGGAGAGTAAGCTATCCCTTCCAAAATCATGTCCCCTCTCTTTCCTGTTACTTACAAATACACTTAGTACTTGAGGACATCAGTAGCGGGCAAAGGTAGGGGTAGCTCCAACACAACTTTATTTTCACCAAGAACCACAAATAACCTGCTTTCGCCACAGTGTTAGTCAAGTGAAGCATGAAAGGGGATAGTTTGTTAGAAAGACAGCCCAGTAGGGCATGAGCTTCCATTAAGAGTGATGGCAAAATTTGGGAACGGTTAGTGTGGTGGTTGAACAACATGATGAATGTAATTAATGTCACTCTATTATAAACATAAAAGATGCTGTAATGGCAAATGTTTTGTTACATGTATATTTAAGCTCAGCTGCTAACCCAAAGGTTGGTGGTTTGAACCTACCAGCTACTCTGAGGGAGAAAGATATGGCAGTCTTCTTCTGTAAAGATTACAGCCTTGGAAACCCTATGGGGCTGTTCTACTCTGTGCTACAGGGTTGTATGTGTCGGAATCGATTCAACATCAGTCCGTCTGTTTTTTGTTTTTGTTTTTTTTATTTACCACACATGTATACAAATATATAGAGAGAAGACAACTACAACAACAGAAAAAAATACTCCACCAAAATTCTAGCATATCACCATCAGGCCATGTACCGCCCTCCGTAAAACAACATCCTACTGTAAACTAGGAAAGCAAAACCATCATCAACAAACAAGGTAGCTAACAACAGCTTAATAGCTACTTGCTACTGTAATCGTCATCATGGGAGTCTATGAGCCCCCTAAGGTACTTTTAGGGGAAAATAAATTTAAAATATGCAAACTGAATTCATTGTGCTCAATTGCAAAAGAAAATATTCTTAAGACACTTTTCATCCGGAAGCTATTAAATGTTAGTAAAGGTAGAAAAATGGAATATTCACAGTTGACAGAAATCCCAGTAATGCTGGCATTTCCCACCTCATGGCACTCCTGTTATTAATTAATCTTAAAATTTGTTTGCAGAGTTCTTGTTGGTTCTAAAGTTAGGAAACAAATGTGTTTCCCTGCAAGAACAAAGCCCATAAATATTCGATGTAAGTAAGAGAAGTGAACTGAATTCATCCCAAGAACATTTGTCACCCACAGTCAGGACACGGAATCTGCTTTGCTCACATCTGCCTCAACAGCACTTGCCCAGAAGATGTTTGAAGCCCAGTGTTGAATGATACATGTTGAATTTTTTTCTACTTACCCTTTAGCCAAAGTTGCTATGCCAACGTCAGTTAGCTTCATTCCCACACCTATAGGAAGAGAGCAAAGATGCGGTGTGCGTTACACAGGGCTCCTCAGAAAGGATCGGCAATCTAGTAACAGGGATGGGTAGTGATTGATCCATCCACACCTCCCTTCCTGTGGAAATATGCAATTCCATCCTCCTTCCCACCACCAGAGTCCTCCTTCTGTGGAGGATGGCAGCCTTTGGCCAAGCACCCAGCTTTATGGGATAATAATGGGGAAGGCAGGCCCGCGGAGGCAGCAACTCAGGGGAGCTGTGCCTCATGTGAGCAGTGGGGCCCACCCACACTGGCCACCCTAAGCTCTCTCACCTCTGAGGAATGAGGCTGTGGGCCTGCGTGACTGAGGAGAGATGCCTCCCACTTCGTGACTCAGTCGGAGGCCTGGCACTTCCCCATGAGCTTTCTCCTCAAAAATGCTCTCATTTGGGCTTTTGGTTGGTCCCCATTACTCCTCGAACAAGGAAACCCTTACACAATGGAAAGAGGAATAGCTGTGGGCTGGGGTGGCCAGTGTCAACAGTGAGAAAGTCCCACAAGGCCTTTTTTCAGTTCGAAGCCAAACTTCAGTTATGCAATTTCCCATTGCCCTACAGTTTTCAGATCCAGGACTGTGATCGTTAAGATTGTATGTCAGCTTGGCTGGGCCATGATTCTCAGTGTTTAAATGTGATCACTCCCATGATAGAATCTGCTGTGAGTAGCCAATAAGTTGAAAGGGAGTTTCCTTGGGGGTGTGGCCTGCATCTGAATACAAGCAGACATTCTGGCTTTTTGCTCACTCTGGATCCTGCGGCTGCCTCCTGTTTGTCTGACCTCTGGTTCTTGGGACTTGAGCTATCAGTGTATCTGCCAGTCTTGGGATTTGTTGATCTTCACAGCCTGTGAGCAGGAGCCCTGCTCTCTGACCTGGTGATCTTGGGTTCACCAGCCCCTGCGGCTATGTGAATCAGGAGAAGCTTTGCAGTCTTGCCTGCCAATCAGGATAGAGAAGCCTCTATCGTGATCCACAGACTTGGGATGTTCTAGCCTCTACAATCATGTGAGCTGTTTCCTTGATATAAATCTCTCTATATATATATTTATACGCTTTACTGGTTTTGCTTCTCTAGAGAACCCAGCCTAAGACAAGGACTAAAGGTGTTCTGGGTTGGGTTAGACCCAGAGAAATACTTCTGAGTTATACATAGACTTTGAACCAGTGACTTGGGGACACTAAAATTTGGAACCCACGGTCTGACCTTTTGACACATCCTAACCTCTATCCATCAAGCCACACTGGCAGTGGCTACAAAAACCAAAATGAACAAACAGCTACCTCAGCCTCCCACTCGGGTTCAGCAAAGAGCCCTGGGCAGCCCTGGAAGAATCCCAAGCAGACAGGAGTCTGTTTGCTTCTGCCTTCCCAGCAGGAGCAGTTGGGGCAATGGCTCGGGAACTGGGGATGAAAAGAGAATGGAAAATGCCACTGTCTTCCAGGGTAAGGAGGGGCAAGAGTTGCCACCACCTTCTGCAGCATCACCCTGCCCAGTCTCTGCCCCACACCCTTAACTGGGACTGGCGGAGGTAATAGCACCTCTCTGATGCCCAGAGTATCCATGGCCTCTAGGCCTTTCTAGAATCTCCTTGCCCTTCCCAGGTACCAATTCTGTTCCTGTTTCTCTAGGAGGGTGGCTATGGGCACTTGCTCCAGTTCAGTAGACCTCTACCTCAGCCTCGCCATGCAATCTAGTGACAGACCCTTTATCACAGGAGACTGGTTCACAGGGCTACCCCACCAGTCTCTCTGGAACTGCAGGACACTGGCCCTGAGTGTGGCCTCCTCTCTTGCCCGTGACTCTTGCCTTCCATGGGCCAGACTGTGATTGCTGGTATTCCCCACCTTCAGCAGGTGACCGTGCCCACCAAAGGGCAGGGTAGCATAGGAGCTGGTCTGCGCTGTGAAGAAGGAACCAGCCCCTGCTACACCAATCCTTGGGGGTCAGATCTGATGGTACCCCATTGTTGTTGTGTGCCATCAAGTCGATTCCAACTCATAGCAACAGTGTTACAGAGTAGAACTGCCCCATTGGGTTTCCTAGGCTGTAGTCTTTGTGGGAGCAGATCACCAGGTCTTTTCTCCCACGGAGCGGCTGGTGGGTTGAAATTGCCGACCTTTTGGTTGGCAGCCGAGCGCTTAACCATTGCACCACCAGGGCTCCTTGATGGTACCCTAGTCCCATGGATCTCCATGGTTCCAAGAGCACTGTTTTCTGAGGCCCAGGACAGGAAAGCTGAAGGGTTAACATTCTGCTTCAGCAGCATCTGCCTGCAGCCTGGCGAGACTATGGACATGTTGCTATTCAGTCTGGTTAGTCAGACAGATGCAATGGGCTCTGCTTTTCGGCCGAACACCTGCGAGCTAAATTAGACACGGCACTTTGGGTGCGCCAGCGAGCATTTTAAAAGCCTCTTTCACAGTTGGTAACTAATTCATCTCATTCTTTCAAAGCTTTTAACAACGAGAACATATGTAGAAATGCTTCACATAGCTTTTATTACAGGATCTGTGCTTTAAAAAAAAAAAAAGAAAAAAGACACCAAATTGCAAAAGCCCTCTTTGGACATCTTGTTTCATGGCAAGTTGTATTTAAAAATCACAGCTCTATTTTCTAAGCTGCATATAAGTCTGATTTTAAAAAGTCATTTGGCAAGAGGTCCTTGAAATTGGGGGATTGCTTTCCTTTGCTTCTCACAATTACCAGATGTCACTTGTAGTTTAGAAAAATAGAGTATAATTTTTTAAATGAAATGTCTCTTTTGGTTTAATAATTTTGCCAGCAATTCAACCGATGTTATTAAAGGCCTCTATAGGATAATAATTTGAATTCTAGTGTGCAGCCATTAAATGGAGCTAGGGATAACAGTAATTTACAGGTTGTTTCTGATGGAAAGAAGGTTGGCAGCAGTAGGAGTTCGTTCTCCAGAATTTGAGTTCTTGGATCTTTTGGGTGATGGCTTCTTAAAAGTCCACTGGTGGCCTCACTAGCGTACAGACCCCAGGGACAAGTCACAGGCTCAGCATTCATCCCACAAACCTGCAGGAACTGGCACTGTCATGGATTGAATTGTGTCCCCCCAAAATATCTGTCAACTTGGCTGGGTCATAATTCCCACTATTGTATGATTGTGTAATCTGATGTGATTTCCTTATGTGTTGTAAACTCTTATCACTATGATGAGGTTATATGTGATTTCCTTATGTGTGTAAATTCTATCACTGTGATGAGGTTATACTGATGAGGTTTACGAGGTTAGTGTCTTAATCCAATCTCTTTTGAGATATAAAAGAGAGAAGCAAGCAGAGACACATGGGAACCTCATACCACCAAGAAAGCAGTGCCGGGAGCAAAGCGTGTCCTTTGGAACTGAGGTTCCTGAGCAGAGAAGCTCCCAGACCAAGGGAAGACTGATGACATGGACCTTCCTCCAGAGCCGATGAAGCAAGCCTTCCCCTGGAGCTGACACCCTGAATTTGGACTTGTAGCCTACTGGACTGTGAGAGGATAAACTTCTCTTTGTTAACGCCATCCACTTGTGGTATTTCTGTTGGAGCAGCACTATGTGACTAAGACAGGCACCATTCTGGAAATAAGCAAATGCCACCAGGGAGGTGGTAACTGTTAAGAGTCTGAGAGGTTGATGGTTGAGTCTGGGGTCTTTCTGTTTTTTGATCCTAATCTCAGTGTCTCTGTACAATTTTAAAAGGTGGTGATTACTTACAGAATGAATGTGCTATCTTGTGCCACAATGACAATAAAAAGCATTTTCACAGCACGAAGAGTAAAGAAGCACTCCCATGAGACACTGGGCCAGCACCTTAAACTGAACACGCATATTACAGAGAGATGGACTGTCCCACTGCAGTTGTTGACTCACTCCTGGAAGTGAAACTAGCTGTGCATATGCTCCAGGGTATTGCTTTTCAGTGGAAAAATGATATTTAATACAAAATTAACTGTGAATAGGAAAAGATGGAGAGCACATCAGCAATGGCACAGCCAGAGTCTAATTATAATAGGTAGCTGTCAGTTAAGACCATATTTTTTTGTAACTATACGTGTGGCAATGAAGCCTCTTCAATGGATTTTCATATATACTTCTGAGTTTGTGCCTACTGGGGAGATAACAATAAAGTCAATCTTTGGTTACCTGTTGTAATGGGAAGGCACTATTAGAATGTACTTTATGACTCTATCAGGCTGGTCATTTTAGGACCCTTTGTCAAAACTTGTTTCTGACAAGACATTAGTAACACCTTCTGCTGGTGACAGTGCTTAGAGGCATCATGGAGTTGCCCCAGCAGGCCTCTCCTCGCTCTCCTCCCCATTCCCAGGAACCACCCAGGCTCAGGTCAAGCTACCCTCCTCACCCTGCATGTCCGTGACCAGGAGGCAGCCACTTGTTTTCTGGTATACCCAGTGCTGGAAAGTGCAGCATTTCTGACCAGCCTCCGACTCTCTTCTCAAGAAGTTTATTTCCTTTCCATCCCGGATGGAATACTTTACAAATTCCCCAATCAGCTCCTCCTCCACTGTCGCATAAGGGATGTTGTTCTCAGGCCGATGGATAAGAAAGATAGGAATGATCCTGGTGGGGAAGAGAATGTGGACACATCAAGTCCTCAGTTGGGAAGACAGATTTCAGATGCATTCTACTCTCACCTGGAGCAGCAGGGAGCTGCAGAATCAATCCCTGCATTCCATTAGATTTAGCCTAAAATTCTCTCCAATGATTACTCAATGAGTAAGAAGATACGTTTCTTTCTTTTCCAGAGTTGGCTAGGGATTTCTCCTTGAAATGGAGTTTAATTGTTCATGAATAATCTGCATTATAATCATATCTCAGTGACCATTGGTCAGATGACTATAATCCAATCATACATCCATACATCCACCCAACCATGCATCTATGCATCCATCCATCCATGTGTCCATCTATCCATGCATCCATCCACCATCCATGCATCCATCCACCTATCTATGCATCGATGCATCCATTCATCCATCCATCCACACAGCCATACATCTATGCATCATTTGTGCATCCATCCATCCATTCATCCATCTACTCAACCATGCATCCATGCAGCCATCCATCTATGCATCCACCCATCCACCCACCCACCCTTCCTTCCTTTTTTCCATTCATTCAACAAATATTTATTAAGTGGCTTCTGTTTCAGACAATTCCAGAAATTGTTCCAGAAAACACCTATCTATATATATATATATATAACAGAGGTTCTGCCCTCATGAATCTGATGTTTAAATGAAGTTGACAGAAAATAAACAAGTAAGTGTATAGAATATCAGACAGTATTAAATGCTATGTGAAACTACAGCAGTGGAAAGGAGATGGGCAGTGCAGGGTAGGGGAAGGGACTGCTATTTTATACAGGGAGGTCAGAGGAGGCCTTGCTAAGTGATAAAATGACCTGTGGGCAAGGATTTGCATAAATCTGTCCCACCCACTACTCATGGGTAGAAGAACTATGTGAAGTTCTACAGTAGGGGTCAGCAAACCATTGCCTACAGGTCAAATCCAGCCCTGTGCCTGTTTTCATACAGTCCACAGCCAAGAATGATTTTTACAAGTGAACATTTGCAATCAATTTGATCATAGAGGATACTAACTCTGAACCCCAAATAAGCAAAATGTTAATTAGAAAAAAATGCTCTTCTTCTGACTAATAGACCTGTATTACAAAAATTGTACTCAATTATTATTATGTTTCAAATTTTTTCAATAAAAAATTGTGGAAGTTGGTTTTCACTCTTGTTACGGAAGTATTTACATAATAGCCTTGATTTTGCCTCTTGGCCCTCAAAGCCTAAAACATTTACTTTCTGACCCTTTACAGAAAAAGTTTGCCAACCTTGCTCTATAGGACATAAAAGTCTCAAGACTTGTCTTCTCTTGATTAGTATCTTTTGAACTCCATTTCCTCTCTTGTTCCTCAAGGCTACAAACATGCTCACATCTCCCCATCCTTAAAAATCACCACCACCACCTTCCTTGGATGGAGCTTCCCTCTTCCCTCTCCAGATTTTATTCCTGTTTCTCTTGTTTCTTTCACTTATTGAAAAGGTAGCCTCCATTTGTGTCCTTGGCCTCAATTCTAATTCCCTCCTTAACCCATTACCCTCATTTGACAAAACTCCACTTGTAAAGGGCACCCATTCTGATGGCCTCTAGTTACTCCAGGGACCCTTCTGCAGCAGCTGACATGGTTTATCCCTTTTTCCCTCTGGAACCACTCTCTTCCCTTGGCTTTGGGGATAGTGCCCTCTACTGGCTGTTGTGCCACTGCTATAGTTTCCTAGCATTAGCCGACACCTACTCCTCTGAAGTGGAGCCCTGGTGGTGCAGTGGTTAAGAGCTCAGGCTGTTAACCAAAAGGCTGGCAGTTCAAACCCACCAACTGCTCCTTGGAAACACTATAGGACAGTTCTACTCTGTCCTGTAGAGTCACTATGAGTCAAAATCGACTTGACGGCAATAGATTTTTTTCGTTTACTCTTCTGAACACTTACTCTGACTCCTGAATGCTCATGTTTCTCAAAGTTCCATCCCTGGTCCTCTTCTCTTCTTGCTCTACACACTCTACCTGGATGATTCTGCCATTTCCACAGCTGCAGCCACTATCTATCTGCTGAGGACCAACAAATCCAGCTCTCTGGTTTCGTTCTCTTCTTTAAGCTCCAGGCTTCTATGACCAATTGTCTACTAAAGTTTGATGAACCAGAGATGTCATAAACCTCAAACATGACATATGCAAAACTTATGATTCATTTTGCCACCCACCTATATGATTCTTCTCCCTGAGTTCTGTATCTTGAAATGACAGCATCGTCTACCCAGTCTCCTAAGTTAGAAACCTTGGATTCATATTCAACTTTCTGTCCCTTCTGTACTCTCTACATCATTAATAATTATTAATTGCCTCTCTGACTTCACCTCCTACCACTCTACCCCTCACTTGGGTCCAGGCACACTGGCTTTCTTCTGCATCTTGAACATGTCAAGCTCTCTACCCCCCTGGGCCTTTGAACTAGCAAGCTCTTGGCCCAGAACACTCTTTCCTCAGATCTTTACCTAAGCTGGCTCCTTCTCATCATTTTAATCTTAGATTAAATATGATCGCCTCAGGAAGGCCTTTTCTGATCACTCAAAACGTCAAGGAAGATCCTGACATATCATCATATCTTATTTTTATCAGAGGACTAATCATTTCCTGATACCTCTTGTTCTTTTGTATTTGCTGGTTATTTAGACAATGTAATATCCATGGAAGTAGAAACCTTTTTCTCTTTAATATGGTTGTTGCTACACTGTTAGGTGCCCTCGAGTCGGCTCCAAGTCATAGCAACCCCATGTATTACAGATGAAACACTGCCTGGTCCTGTGCCATCATCACAATAGTAGGTATATTTGAGCCCATTGGTGCAGCCACTGTGTCAATCCATCTCATTAAGGGTCTTCTTTTTTGCTGGCCCTTACTTTACCAAGCATAATGTCCTTCTCTAGGTATTGGTCCCTCCTGATGATGTGTCCAAAGTAAGTGAGACAAAGTTTTGCCATCCTCTTAAGAGAATTCTAGCTGTACTTCCTCCAAGACAGATTCGTTCATTCTTCTGGTCAAAAAACCAGACCGGTTGCCATCGAGTCAATTCTGACTCATAGAGACCCTCTAGAACTGAGGAGAACTGCCCTATAGGTTTTCCAAGGAGCTACTGGTGGATTCGTACTGCTGACCTTTTGGTTAGCAGTCACAGCTCTTAACCACCGTGCCAAATTCTTTGCCAACACCGTAATTCAAGTGTGCCCATTCTTCAGTCTTCCTTTTTCATTGTCCAGCTTTTGCATAAATATTGTAGATACAGCTATTGAATGAATCAAGCCATCCGTCTATTTATCTATCCACCCATACAGGCATACATACATGCATGCATACGTTTATTCAAAAAATATTTATCGAGTACCTCTTTGCAAGCCTCTGGAGCCCCAACATGAACAGGATAGCAGCCATGTGTGCCTTCTCGGAGGTTACAGAAAGACCAAATGAAACACTTGTCCTACTGGTCCTTCTCACCCTTTCATCCCTCTAAGTCTTCAAAAAGTTAGGGTTAGCAATACCAGACAGGTAAACACACTTACTCAGGTACTTCTCCAAAGCCTTCTAGAGGCTGTGCTTCAGCAGCATAGATCTTGGCATAGTGTCTGGCAGTATTTTGAACATAGCATTCCTGTATCATTGAATACATAGGAAATCCAAGTTATTAGAAGAAATTCAGAGAGCTGCCTGGTAAGGCTAATCGGGAGATTTCCCAATATAGGTCATGCCTATCGATTCCCAAACCTACCCCCTGGTTGGGATCGTAGGAGCAACAACTATTGCAACATAGAGTTGGCCACTTGTGGAGGAGCTCTGAGCCCTGAAGAAACTGTCCCAGGCGAAGGTCAAGTGGTCTCCACAGTCAGGTGTCCATGAATCATAACATTCTAGAACCAGCATGGCTGACGTTCACCCCTGAGCTAAGGTGACTGAACCCTTGATAAGATGTCAGGTAAAGCACAGGGCTGGTGGCCAGCTGGGTTTCCCCACCTAAGATTCCTTTTCAAAGGTGTAATTTGAGTAGTAAACAATGAACCCTTTGACAAGATTGTTGGCTTAGAAAAAGCAAGCTGGATTCTGCTTCCTAGTCTGTGGGGCCTTTCAGAGTAGCAGTCTAGATGCTGGGGGATTTTCCATGACTGGGCCAGATGGTATGTGAGTGAAAGAAAAGAAAAAAGAGAAGTGCACTCAGAGGAGAAAGGAATACACCCGGCAAAATCCTGTACTGGAGAGGAGGGGCTGTCTTCACGAGCACAAAGTCTCCGATGAAATTGCCACATTTGAGAGAATCGTGGATGGTTAATGCTTGACGGTACCCAAGAGATTCATTTAAGTCTAACCTATTCATTTTATGTGTTAAAAAAGAGAGGCACACAGTCAAAGCTGGTCCCAGCTCTCCTCACAGCTTGGCCAGTGCTGGTACGGATCAAGGTAGATGGAGACTATAGCTCATGCTCTCCTCCCACCCCTCAAGACTTCTGTGACTCAATAACATAGGTAGAAGTGTGGGAACTTAGCTAGAGACTTGGAACAATATCCCTGACTAACTTACAGGCTGACATTAAACTGGACAAATTCTAACCCTTCTGAACTCTCACCCTCCACCAAAACAAACCAAACTAAAACACTCCAGAAACACCTTAGGGGTGTGGGTCTTGGCATACAATTTAGCTTAGAACCCCCACTTTCCATACCATCCTGTGTCAAAGGAGACTCATACTCCCAGGGATCCCATGGGACTTCTGAGGAACAGGAATGACCCCAGGTCCAGGTCAGACCTGGTGAGGTGTCTCCAGACAACTGGCTGGTGTGAGGCCGAGAAATTACTCCTGAAGACTGAGAAGTGATTTCCACCTTACTCCAGTGAATGGAATAACTCCAGTGGATCTTCACTCCATGGACCCCTTATAACCACACTCCCAGCAACTGCAAGTCTAATTTTCACCTCATGTTACCATGGGTCTCTCTCACACCTGAAGTGACACATTTTGGGCAGGCGGACCTACCTGGGCAGCGAGCTTGTAGTTCCGCTGGATGAGTTCATCATTGTTTCTGGTCCCATAGGTGAGGGCGTTGTGTACTTTGAGCACGCAGGCGTGGCCGGGCTTGAACACAGGTGTGAGGCCCTGCATCACTGTGCTGCGGAAGGCCTTGCGGTGGACCCCTTCCCCAAAATGCAGCTCCTCCGTGGCAATCTGACCCCGCAGGCTGCCCCCAAAGTAGCTGTCACTGAGGAAGTCTTCTTTGAAGATGAGCTGGCTGAATTCAATCTCTTCACATCCTAAAACACAGCACAGCTTTACTTAGAATATCCCCTAATCCTTCTCCTTAGCTAATTAATATCCCTACAAAGGGACAATGACAAGGTTGACCTGTAAATCCTAAAACCAGTTGTTGTGGAGTCCATTCTGACTCATGGAAACCCCTTGTGTGTCAGAGCAGAATTGTGCCCCAGAGGGTTTTCAATGGCTGAATCTAGGAAAGAGAAGAACATGGCTGCTCGAGTCTAGAATTGTGAAGAAGGTGAACTTTTCTTTGAAACAACAGGATCCAGCCATTGCTATGACTGAGACTCCAAGCTGCCTAACATATCCGTGACAGGCGGCTCTATGAGAAAGAACCAGCAGAGTCATTGGAATTGATCCTATAGAGATATGCATATGAGTGTTGGTGTCTCAAGACACTTTGCGAAGGTTCTTTGCTACACCCATAGTTGTGAAATCCAAATCCTAAAAAGAGGTACACAGAGAGACCAGGGGGCGCCTGCAGTCACTGATGGCAAAGACTGCTTAGAAGTAGAGAAAAGCACCCCCCAAATATATTCATAATATGTAATAACATTGTTAATTTGGGCTAGCTTGTGTTTTACTTGGCCTATCATTCATTTTGGGCTTTCCCATGAGCTGAGTTTTATTAGTTTTTTAATTAGAGACTGACTTGTAAAATGTTATTTGTTCCTCCTATAGAGAATTAAATTCATAAAATGCTTACTGAGAGAGGGAAGGAGGAAGGGAAAGAAAGGGAGAAAGAGAGGGAGGGCAAGAGAGACTCCTCCAAATAAAAAAGTTAATAAAGAAGTAATTTTAAGCTTCTTCTGAAGTTGCAAGGGGAGGGAGATGCCAGGTATGGCCTCCCCAGCCTGCTGAGTCATTGAAACTGATAACCCCAAGACACAGTGGAGTCAGGAGCTGGGGGGTGATGTCATCAGGATCTAGACCCAAACCCTAAGGTTAAAGTCACAGGGGTAAACCAGCAGCACCATTTCCACCAGGGGCTTATCCTGATTAGGTCTCATTCCTGATGGTAAAACCCTGAGAAATGAGTTTATGCAAAACTAAATCAATAAGGCAATAGCAAATGTCTGGATGTGGATGCCAGTCACTGCTAAGATGTTGAGGAAACAGAGTATCTCTTTTCCTTCCAAAAGTCCTTGTGTTTTCTGAAGTGTGAGGAGGGGGATTCTTCTGTATATTCTGACTTTTGGGGCAGTGAAGGCAGAAATGGAGGTGGATTTAAAATTATGCCACAAATATACTGCACGCTGAGAACAGGTATTTAACATTTGAATGGGTTTCTGAAGAGTTCATATTTACAATTATTATTTTGAATAAATACCACAATATGTGCTAGACCGTCTCTAAGTCGAGATCCGAGTTCCTCGCCTTTAACGTACTGGACGTTACTGCATCTCGATTACCTTTATTATTGTGTTTTCACAAAGCTTTCCCCACCTTTTCAGGTGTTCTGTTTGCTTTAAAAATCAGCACATGAGGAAAATCTTTAATATGCTAAACCAATTCGATTATCAGGGTTTTATGCATATCTCTTCTAAAACTGACCAAGGGTCCTTAACGAAACCAGTTGCCTTTGAGCTAACTCCAACTCATGACAATCCCATGTGTGTCAGAGTAGAACTGTGCTCCAGAGGGTTTTCAATGGCTGATTTTTCCGAAGTAGATTCCAGCCCTTTTCTTTTAAGGTGGCTTTGGGTGGACTCAAGCCTCCAACCTTTTGGTCAGTGGCCCAGTGGGTTAACCTCTTCACCACCCAGGGACACTGACCAAGAGTCCTACTCCGCGCTGAAGTTGTGGTAACATGAAGGCAGGTGGTGCTGCAGTGGTCGGCTGTGGCCAGCTGCTTCAGCTCCTGAGGACTGATCATGGGTATCTCTGCCCAGCTCCGTGTTGCGTGATGTCATGTTTAAAATCAGCCATGTGAGAGTATTTACACTATGGAAATGGGAAAACGCTACAAATCAGGGCCTCCCTACACCCCAGCAGGTTGTTAAATATTTTCCAGCACACCTCTGGGTGGACGTGTGTGTGTGTGTGTGTGTGTGTGTGTGTGGAGGTAGGTGTGTATGTGGAGGTGGGCATGTGTGTGTGGAGGTAGGTGTGTATGTGGAGGTGTGTGTGTGTGTGGAGGTAGGTGTGTGTGTGGAGGTGGGTGTGTATGTGGAGGTGGGTGTGTGTATATGGAGGTAGATGTGTGTGCGGAGGTGGGTGTGTGTATATGGAGGTAGGTGTGTGTGTGGAGGTGGGTGTGTATGTGGAGGGGTGTGTGTGTGTGTGTGTGTAGGGGTAATTTCTCCTAAGACAGAATACACGCACCCCACCAAGCTGTATTCATTAGGAGGCCCAGTGCAGTGGCAGCCTGAGGGATCAGGGCTGGGGCTGGGCTGTTGCCCTCCCAGGTAGGCACATGTGCCAAAGGAAAGCACGAGCACCCATCTTTCCTTTTCCTTGAGATGCAAATGAATGGAGTGGTTCTCCTAGACACCTGGCTGTCTTCGGGCATCTGCTCAGCTAGCCAAACTGCAAAGTCCACTCCAGACACCAAACCTGCTGTGGAAAGGCCAGCAGCTAAAAACACCCAAACAGAAGGGCTGAGAGACGGTCCCTCCAACATATCCTCCATGCTCACTCTTAAAGAAGTCTCGCCCCAAACTCCCCTCCACCTGTTCACAACACCTACGCTGCTGCAGTCTAATCTCTTCCATATTCAGAGCCTAATGAAATTCTAATATGAAGTGTGGGCCTGAAAAGCAGGTTGAAATGACTCATGAATAGTCATTCCTTTTTCTAGTTGTTCCTGAGCTCTCTCCTAACCAGGAGCCCTGGTGGCGCAGTGGTTAAGCATTCGGCTGCTAACCCGCCGCTACTTGGAAACCCTATGGGACAGTTCTACTCTGTCCTATAGGGTCACCATGAATCCGAATCGACTCGACGGCAATGGGTTTTGGTCTCCTACTTAGTTATTAGAGTCCACTCAAACATTGCCTCTACCATCTGCTCCAGGTACTAGTTGATGCTTTGGGGTGAGCCCGTTTGCTCTGACAGGCCAGTGTGGCTTACCTTTAACATCCTGGTGCCTTGAGAGCTGTTTGAGAACTAGAAGAAGACAAAGAAGAGAGTGGCTTCAGGACAACTGTACGCTCTGAACTGCGAGAGGCCAGCTGGCTTTCACTGGAAACCAAAAACCTGGGGTTTACCTTCAGCTGTGAGGTTAAATTCAGCCGTCGCTTTTCCATAACTGTTCTTGATGCAGCAGTAATAGAAGCCCTGGTCCTTCTGACTGGCTTGAAAAATGGCCAGGGAAAGAGTGGAGTGGTCACCTGCACTGTAATGGGGACATCAACACTCATAAGTTTCATCGTTTTAAAGCTGCGTTTTTCTAATGTACTTAAAGGAGAAAAAACTGATGCTTCCCCGCCCTGATGTTTTCAGCCGGTGAGCTGGCTAAAGGACAAGATCATCATAATAATTATAATACATATATCACATTATTTTATCGTATAGTATATAACAGTGGGCCTTCTCCATGAAAGAAAACTACTCTCTAAGTCCCAAATAGTTCAGTTCAGTATTTGTTGAGCATCTGCTATGTGTCCAGTACTGGGGGATTCAATGATTTTTTTTTTAAGGCACAGTCATTGCCCTTGAGGGTCCCCAATCTGGGAAGAGATGGACAAAAGAAAACACCAACATAAACTGTGGAAAGTGAAAAGAAGGGATCTTGCGCCTTTGTGAATCAACAGGGAGAAGCTCAGTTTCTCATCCTGTTACCCTCCAAGGGGTGAATTGCTTTGTTTTTATGAAAGCAATGGCCCACGTGCACAAAGGGCTAGACGGGAGTGGAGCTCAGCTGAGGAGACAAATGCAGAGGGAGGCTCTGCCAGGAGTACGGTCAGAGTAATACTGCCCAGAACCAAACCGGCTGGAGGGAGAAGGTACTCTGGAAGACCCCCTCATCCTTTTCCAGCCCCAGAGAACCCCGATGGGATGGGCAGCACTGCTGCACACCATCCAGTCTGGGCTGAGAGGTTCCTGGGTTGTCCTTCCCACAGCCATCCAGTGAGAAACTGCTTCAACGGCAGCCAGCACGTCACTCACTGGTTGTCCAGCAGAAATGATGCGACCTGTGCTCCAAGACTTTGCTCCCTGCCCAGAGTGGAGAGTGGTTCCAAGAAAGCAGTGATGGCCAAGGTAAGACTAGAGGGTGCCAGATTGAGATCCTCATGGAGCCAAGACCTACCACTTCACACAAACACTCAGAGCAAGCAAGCGCTCTTCTTCTCGGCTTCCTCAGAGGATAACAGTCTTGCCCTAGCCACTGGAAAGCGTTCTGACACATGATTGCCAAACTTTAGCCTGTTGAAGAAAAGTATCCCAAACCTGGGGACAAAGGCAAGAGGAAGGCCGCATGTCCTTTGTATGCCACTGTTTAACAGGCTTCCCCCAAAATTACTTAATTATAAAAGAACACTCCAGTTCTCAATTTTGCTATTTACTACCTAAATAGAACCCACTCGTTGTGAGGTTACATGTGAACTTCTAGGCTTCTGTTTATTAAAAAAGATAACCCCCAGGTTTATTATCTATTAAACATGTTAGCTAGTGTTGTATCTATTTGCAAATTTCTTTCAGCCTTCCTTTGCCTGACTGATCATCTAAATCCCCATTCCTCAAATGCTCCTTGTTCCCTCGTTAATTAATGAGCTGAAGACCTTTGTGACACGTTCATATTTATTTGCTTGAGAGATTTCAACTTTTTGAAAAGAATACCTTGGCAAGACAGTGAGAGATTTTGTGAAGGGACATGTAAAAGGAAACATTCAACTGGAAGAAGGGTTGAGAGAAACTAGCTTAAACCCACCTGAAATAATACAAATGATTCAACACGCAGAGGAGTTATGACTCCCAAATATTCTCAAGTGTTAGTTAGCACAGAGAAGGCCAATGGGTGCATATAAGACAGTGTCCCAAGGAGAAATGAAGCAAATATCACGAAGAATTTGAAGGCCTTGGCCACGCATTAGTAGGTAGCATGCTTCCTAATGACATATGTTCCCTAGAGGGAGGTTAGGCTTTATAAACACACTGCAACTGGAAAAGGAACCTGAAAGATTGAAGTGCCAGTTCTGAGCTTAGAGCAAGGCTGCATCGTGCTTATAATTGTTCCTGGCTGACAGCTTCGGAAAGTACTTAAAATGAGTAATTAGTACTTCCTTTTTAATAAAGCTGTAGGGAAACGCTTTGATTCAAATTCAAGTCATTGCTTCTCCATTGTAATTCTTCTTAAGCCATACAGAAAGACAAGAAGGCTAATGATAACATTTTTGACATTTTATTATATCACTCACAATCCAGTTAGATTTTCTGGAGTGATGTTATACAAATGAAATGGTAGCCCAAGTCCTTCATAATTGCATTTGGGAAATAATTTTTGGACATCTGTTCCAAACAGACATGTTTAATTAAACAGAAAATTCACAGCTTTTCTCACATTTTCAGTCTACTTGAGACAAGAGTAAGGAGTTGGAACACTTCCCATGAGTCAGGAATTGAACTGGGACCTCCTTTAGCAGGAAGAAGCTTCTAAGGGTTGTGTGAGTTATGCTGGCTTTCACTGAACCAAGGTGATTTGTTTCTAGAATGAGACATACCTCCGTAGGTGTGTCTGATGAAGCTTGAGTTCATCAGTTCACATGAACAAGGATTTATTACCAGGCAGGAAGGTGCTTCAGGAAGCCATTAACCAGATTTATTCAACACAGGGTGTTCTTGGAGACGATTCACACTCTCATCTCTCTCCTCTTCATCTCACCTCTAATATCCTGTTGCTGTTATGCACCATCGAATCGATTCCAACTCACAGTGACCCTGTAGGACAGAGTAGAACTGCCCCATAGGGCTTCCTAGGCTGTGATATTATGGGAAGAGATCGCCAGGTCTTTTCTCTTGCAGAGCTGCTGGTGGGCTCAAACCGCCAACCTTTCAGTTAACAGCAGAATGCTTAACCATTGCGCCACCAGGGCTCCTTTCTAATATCCTAGGGTGTCAGAAATAAACTGTTTTTCCATCTTAGAGACAGCTGCTCGCCACCCTCAATAGCTGTTACTTTTCTGTAATTTTATGGCTTGTTTTATCCTTCGGATTCACCTTCTTAGCTTTGTTTGGTCTTTGGTTAACAGGAATTTATGAAACAGAAAACACACACACAAGAAAAATCCACAGATGTACAGAAGAGCGCTCTTTGACCTTGGGACCACAGAACTTCAGACTATAAGGTCATTTGACATGTTCCCCTTATTTTAAAAACATAATTAAAGATTCCATGATTTCCTAAGGCCACAGAACTCATTGGTGGCGGAGCTAGGGCAAGGACCCACCACTATTTTTCACTGTCCAGACAGCTTTCTTCCATTACTTATTATCCTTGGATACTTTGGGTGAGGTATCTCCGCTTCAATTTTCCTTGTCACTTCTTATAATTTATTATTTTCTTTTAGAACTATGTTGTGACATAAACAAGCAACAACTGTGAAAAGTAACCAGGGGCAAATATCGTACCTTCTCTGCGCTTGGGCTATTGGCTTTGAATCTTTTGTCCACCAGACAGTAGAATCTTCATGAATTTCTGCAAACTGGCAGCTTAATTTTACATTTCCAGAATGGTCGGGGAACATCTCTGCTTGGATCTTTTTCAGTAATATTGGAGCTAGGAACAAGAGATTTGTAGGTCAGTATTATTATAATAGCTACCCAGAGTGTTACAGTGGGCAAAAGTTTTCCCTATTTTATCTCACTTTATTCTCCAACAATCCAAGAAAAGGGGATAATAATTATTATCCCCCATCTATGGGTGAGGAAACTGAGTGTCTGATGGGAGACGTGGCTTGCTTAAACAGCAGGAAACTGAACAGATCAATCTAATATAAAACACACTTTTTCTTTTTTTTTTGTACCTTAGATGAAGGTTTACAGAACAAATAGTTTCTCATTAAACAGTTAGTACACATATTGTTTCATGACGTTCGTTAACAACCCTGTGACATGTCAACGCTCCCCCTTTTCAGTCTTGGGTTCCCTATTACCACCTTTCCTGTCCCCTCCTGCCTTCTAGACCTTGTCCCTGGGCTGTTGTGCCCCATTGGTCTCATTTTCTTTGATGCGGCTGTCTAATCTTCGGCTGAATGTTGAACCTTGGGAGTGACTTCATTACTGAGCTAAAATGTTGTCCAGGGGCCATACTCTCGGGGTATCTCCAGTCTCTGTCAGGCCAGCAAGTCTGGTCTTTTTCTGGAAAATTCACTTTTTCGTACTTAAAATTCTGTAATGCACAAAGTGAAATAAAATTTGCAAGACTTTTTTTTTTTTTTTTTTTTTTTGAGAGTGTAGATGCCTGGTCTAGATGACCTGGGCCAAATAAAGATGCCTTTAAATGATCACCAGATGACTCAGGTAAAAATCAGAGGTTGGGGGTAGGGAATAGAATCAAATCTGAATTATCAAGATAATTGTGGCTAAGACCCCCAAGATGTAAAAGCAAGTCAAGTATAGGTTATTTCCTGAAGAATGTCTCTTTCCCCCTGATTACAGTTGTCTTTGCTGAAGATATTCTAGCGGATTGGAGTGATGTCTGATATCAATCTCACTAGCAAAAGAGAGAGTGAAATAGAGCAAATAAGGAAATGATTCCCCAGGGGTTGGGCTGAGAGCCTTGAACATCACCTCTTTTGCCAGCAATGAGAGCTTGGCATGCTCGGCAAATGTGTAATTAGTCAGGGTAGCCACTGGGTGGCAGCATAAACATTAGAAAAGACAAGGATTGCCACCCAGAAGGTGTACTGCAAGCTTTCTTTCCCTCTGGGATAGAAGACTTAACCAGGTGGTCAGAATAATTTGGTAGGCAGTAAAATCCCTGGGTGGTGCAAACAGTTAAAGTGCTCAGCTGCTCACCAAATGGTTGGAGGTTTGAGTCCACCCAGAGCGCTTCAGAAGAAAGGCCTGGGGTCTACTTCCAAAAAATCAGCCATTGAAAACACTAGGGAGCACAGTTCTACTCTGATACACAGAGTTGCCTTGAGTCAGAATCGAGTCCATGGTAACTGGTTAGTTAAAGATTACTGGAGACGTGGTGTCAGTCTGTCACAAACCAAGCTCCATAACTCTGCAGCCTTTGTAACACATCGTCAAGAAGCATCATATAATCCATGGCCAAGCCAAAAGTCCTCAGTATGGATGCTTTCTTTGCTCTGTTGCCTCAAATTCCACTATGGTGAGATATTTGATGCATTAAATGTGCTTCCCATCCCTCCTGGGTGTCAACAGATACTTGGATAACAAAATGCATATTAAAATCTTCTTCTCTGCCCAGGAAGTGATAAATGAGCTGTTTGGGTAACAAATCCTTCAACCAGAAAGTAGCTGAGGCTCGATAGCTACATTTTAAATTTTAACAATAGTATGGGAGCCAAGTGCACAATTGTGAGACAAAATATACTAAGTGCTCAGTTGGACCTACTGGCTCCTGTCTGAGCTGCACTAGGTGTTCAGGTGCCGTCTCAAACCCTTGGTCCAGAGTCTTGCCCAAGCCTGCCTCCTCATCTGGGCCACATTTCCTCAAAGGCCCTTCCAACACTACACTGCGGCCGTCCTCATGGGTGATTTGGGGATACATAAATGTTCCTATGGAGCCCTGGTGGCACAGTGATTAAGTGTTCAGCTGCTAATCAAAAGGCTGACAGTTCGAATCCACCAGTCGCTCCTTAGAAACCCTGTGGGGCAATTCTACTCTGTCCTATAGGATCGCTATAAGCTGGAATCAACTCAAGGGCAATGGGTTTTTTTTTTCAAATATTCCTAAGGCTGCCACCCCATTCACAACCCATTGTAAGAACTGAAAATAGAGAAAATGGAAGGATGAGGGGAAGGGCATAAAAAGGGCAGCAGAAGTTCACGATGGTCTCTGGGAGACATGAAGCTGGCTTGAACAAGAGGCCCCAAGGCTTTGGAAAGGATCCCTGTTTGTGTGGGACAGAGATAGAAATGTAGTGGAATGAGCCAGGACGAGGCTTGGGAGTACAGCTAGGCTTCTATGTGTATTCTGGCCAGGTGTTGAAGGAAAAGGATAGAGAAGTCCCCTGGTGAACATAAAGCTTCAGTTTTGCTAAGCTTTGAATGTCAAAGACAAAAAACAAAAAACTTGGCTCAGTGTTTGTTTTATTCCTGTCAGAATCATCCAAGACACACGCACGCACGCACGCACGCACGCACGCGCGCGCGCGCATGCCTACCCCACCACATCACTAGCAGGAAGGTGTTAAATCTATGTTCCTTCGGGGATGGCAGGGTGTGGACCAAACTGCAGGTACACGGTCAAGGTGTCACCCAAAGGATCTGAAACTTACTACTGGCCAGAAGCAGCGATGAGGACTCAGGATGCCCTGGGTCTTACAAACACCAAAAGCACCAAAAGGAACAAGAAATTTCTTAGCCTGGTTGTCTCCCTGGTAGCAAGCCTTTTTTTTTAAACAATGAAATTGCTGTGGCTTACTCTGAAAAAAAAAAACAAAAAAAACTTTTGATTGCTTGCTAGTGGAGTAGATTCTGAAAGGAAATGGTCGGTAGATGGAAACCCGTAATGAACAGTGGGCAGGTCACGAGTGAGAAGGAAGGGCAGGCCGTCTGAATGCCGCAGCCTCAACGTTAAACGCCGGAAGACACTCGCGTTTCCTGTTTCTTGTCATCGCCTGTGTTGACGCATGCAGATGAGCGCACACAGCAGATCCTTACTAAATACTCCCTTACTGCATTAATTATCACAACTAATTGCAGTCACCATATAAAAGAGCACAACTTTCATAAATGAATGAATATGCTGGCCAAGCCGTTATTTGCCAAGTCAGGTCGAGAGCCCTGGAGCTGGCTTGTAGTTAGGATGGGGGAGCTGTAATCTTTAAAAAGTGGGTGCCGATGTTCCAGGCACCTGTCTTTCTATCTTTCCTTGCAAAGAAAATCCTCACACAAGAGAGGAGAGGGGCGGCATCCAGTGGCAACGCCTCAGAAGCTGTGAAAGGAAAGGAGGATAGGGTGAAGACAACCCACGTGGGAGCAAACCCAGCGTTGGATGCCCATTTAGGGGCTGACTCGAGAGAGTCACTCAGGTGGACGTTCTCTGTCTGCGTCCTCTCGAAGGGCCTCCACCTTCCACTTGAGGCTCTGGGTTCTTCAGAGAAGAGAGGCTGGGATACAAGAATCACTCGTTCTTCTAATACTAGGTGGGTATCAACCCAGATACAATGATTTTGCATCTGACCTAAGTTCTTAATTTATTTTGTGTGCATAATAGCCTAGGATTTTCCTTGTTTTTCACTGAATGATAATAATAAAACAGTAGCTAACAACTCTGAGGGTTTGTTCTGGGCCAGGCGTCATTCAGATTGCTTTGCATTTTTATACCTTGGAGGTAGCAGAACTGCACTCCCATTTTACAGGTGAGGAAAAAGAGGCACTCAGAGGCTAAGGCATTCGTCCAAGTCTACCCAGTTACTGGCGGAGACCAGATTTGAACCCACACAATCTGGTTCTGAATGGGTGCTGTTCTCAGAACCCACATGCTACAGCTTCTTTCCCCATGGGCCAACACACCTGCCAATATCCCCAGCTCCTCGTCTTTGCCTCTTAACCGACTCCGTGTCCTGGGCGGCAGCATTGTTAACAGTCCGTTACTACCAAATTGGGCTGGAAAAGTCTTTGATACTCTTCTTCTGCTGCCTCTGGCAGGGCCTTCCCAGGATGGGGCCTGCTGCCCTGACTTGTACCTGCTTCACTAGCCCCACATCCTCCCAGAATGCCATATTTTCTGTCTGTGCCGCCCTTAGGTGCTTGGGGAGGCTATGCTGCAAATAAAATCAGACTCTCCAACAGGACCTGACTACCTGGATCATCATTTTTCCCATAGGTAATCTGAATGATTGTGTGCAGAAATTCCAAGTAGATAGCTTCCCCCTGGGCTGCAACCACTTCTGAGGGTCTTTTAAAACACTGCTTCATTCTCTTTAAATATGTTTTAAAACATACATACTAACAATGCCATTGGATACCTCCAAACTCTTCAGAAGGCAGGTTTGTATTTAACCCTGTATGCAACAGGGGACAGGGGCCCAGTTGGTGTGGGTTGGGAATAACAACCACCAGCCCCAAAGGCTGAGGACCCTGGCTAAGCGAGGAGGAACTTCCTCCCGTTGAATTAACGAGGGCTGCAGCATTCTGCCTGCTCCAGCACACACAGACCACGTTACCTCGCTGCAATATTTTCTCTTCTGACTTCTACCATGTTTTCATGGGAAGGGAAAGATGAGCTCTGATATAATAAGAGGCTAAAAATTTTCACGAATTTCTTCAGCCTCAGGTTATAGAAAGGAATTTGGGGCTGAAATGATTCCATGGGCAAAGCAGAAACAATTACAAGGGTTTCGGAGGCTCTAGTGGTCTGAAAAACAAAAAAGAAGGATGTCGCTTTGAGGACTAAGATGCACCTGACCCAAGTCATGGTATTTTCAATCATATGCATGCGAAAACTGGACAATGAATAAGGAAGACGGAAGAATTGATGCCTTTGAATTATGGTGAAGAATACTGAATACACCATGGACGGCCAGAAGAACGAACAAATCTGTCTTGGAAGAAGTACAACCAGAATGCTCCTTAGAAGCAAGGATGGCAAGACTTCGTCTCACATACTTTGGACATGTTATCAGGAGGGGCCAGTCCCTGGAGAAGAACATTATGCTTGGTAAAGTAGAGGGTCAACAAAAGAGAGGAAGACCCTCAATTAGATGGATTGGCACAGTGGCTGCAACAATTGGCTCAAGCATAGTTATGATTGTGAGGGTGGTGCAGGACTGGGCAACGTTTCGCTCTATTGTACATGGGTTTGCTGTGAGTCGGCACCGACTCGACAGCATCTAACAAGTGGTCTGAAACCAGAAACAAGGAGACCCCAGAGGACGTTAGACTCAGGAAAAGAGGAAGGTAAGTTGGAAAAAAATTTTATATCCAAATTTGGAAGAAAAAAATCAAGGTTAAAATTAAGCTATTTTAAATAAAATTTAATGATTAGAGAGGCAAATTCCAAATTGTACCTAAATGTTTGTTTCTTTAAATCTTTCTTAGTGTGTGGTCTATTTAATTATACGAATTAGCTACACGGATTAGTGCTTCTGTTTATCTTTTTTTTAAATTGATTAAGAAACAAAAAAGGACAACCAAACAGAAAGGCATCTTAATTGCGCTCCCTCAGTTAAAATACCTACCTCACATGAGGTCACCATGAGTTGGAATTTACTATCAACTCAATGGCAATGGGTTTGGTTTTTTTGTTGTTGTTGCTTATCAAACCAAACCCAACCTGCTGAGTCAATTCCAACTCATGGCGACCCCATGTGTTACAGAGCAGAACCGCCCTGTAGGGTTTTCTTGGCTGTAATCTTTATGGAAGCAGATGCCAGGCCTTCCTTCCCCTGCACTGTTGGGTAGGTTTGAACCACTAACCTTTATGTTAGTAGTCGAGCGTAAATCGTTTATGCCACCCGGGGACCTAAACATACCTACAAGCAGTCTACATCAGTAGTTCTCAAAGTGTGAACCCCGGATCAGAAACATCAACCTCACCTAGAAATTTGTTACCGATGCAATTTCTTGAGCCCCACCCGAGACCCACTGAATCAGATCTCCGGGTTTGCGGCCATTGCTGTCTAGTCAATTCCGACTCATGCCAAAAAAACCCAAACCTGTTGCCACTGAGTCGATTCCAACTCATAGTTGCACTATAGGACAGACAGAGTAGAACTGCCCCACAGGGGTTCTAAGGAGTGGCTGGTGGATTCGAACTGCTGACCTTTTGGTTAGCTGCTAAGCTCTTAACCACTGCACTACCAGACCCTATATTGGTGGGGTCCAGCAATCTGTAGTTTAACAAGCCCTTCAGGTGATTCTGATGTCCACTCAAGTTTGAGAATGTCCGGCCTATATGTTCAAGCCACTTGGCTGTAACCACAGCATCTATGTCCACCTGGTGGGTGCCCAACAGAACTGCAAAGAACTCAGGAGGGAAGAGAAACTTGGCATCCAGCCTTACCGACCCAAACTAACCAGTATAGAAAGCAACAGTCTCACCTTTTCCTTCTCTTTTGCAAGGTGGCTTTTTTGGGTCTTTCTTCTCATCTGTGCATGATACTGATGCTTCAAGTTTAGGAACCTTTTTAAGAAAGCTCGAGGTCTTTCTGATGTTTTCCTTCTCTTCCAATCTCATTCTCAGGGCTGCTACCCTGGACAGAACTTTCTTCTTTACTCCCTCAGTTATATGTGCACTTCCAGAGGTTTCTTGCTTCTTCTTGGCCTCCTCGGATGCAGTACCTGCTGGCCAGGCCCCTGGAAATTTGCCAGGTTTGGTTGCCACGTGGCTGGGCGTCTCCTCCTCCCTGGACTTTTCCACGCTGCCCAGGGTGGAGCCCGTTTGACAGTGGTCCTGCAGGAACTGAGGAGAGTCCTCTGATACATGTTCTCCTGAAAGGAAGGCCCAAGTCACGGCTGGGGAGCCAGGTGAGTTTAGGGATTTGGTTTTCCCAGTTTGGGGCTCCTCTGTTTTAGATTTCTCGATTTTGTTGCTTGTTGAGAAGTCTGTGTTGCTTCCTTCAGGAGATGAAGTAAAAGGTAATAGTGTAAGACCACTAGGAGAAGGCAGATGTTTAGCACAATCCTTTGAATCAGAAAATACATTTTGATGGTTTCTGGGCTCAGCTACATCATTTTTGGTGATGTCATGAATTTGGCCTGTGGAGTTAGTGTCAACTCCAACAGATGCATGAGTCACTATTGCAAGACAGTTAGAAAGAGGTAAAGTGGGGGAAGTTACCTCTGCTTTGTTGGGTTTGCTTTGTGCAGCCTCCCCAAACTTTCCCTCACTGCCTTCTTGTACTTGGTGTGTGCTGCCTTCTCTAGGAATTACTTCCCCACCTTCATCAGGATGTGGGACTTGCAAAGCGGCAGGTTGGCCTTCCACTTTTGCTTTGTGGTGTTTACTTTGTTCACCCTCCCCTCTCTCACTGTCTTCTTGGTTTTGGTTTATGCTCCTTTCACTTGGAATGGGCTCTCCACTTTCCTTGGGATATGAAACTTGCCAAATGGCAGGTTGGACTTCTACTTTATGGCTCAAGTATCCATCATTCAATTGACTCCCCTCTTTGATGAGCCCAGGTGTGGATTCGGGAGACTCTGGTTGTTCAGCGCTGGCCCACTCCATCACACCTGTTCCATCAATGGGATCTACAGAGGACTCTAGGATTTGAGGGCAGGTTAGCAACTGTTTAAAGAAGGCAGGGTGATCCACCTTGAGTTGGTTTTCCTCCTGGTTTTGACTCATATTGTTAATAGTTTCCTTCCCTCCAGTTTTGGAAGCCTCTAAGAGTAAATTTGTGGTACACGGTTCCTTTTCATCTACGGGGTCCACAGATGACTCCAGGAATCTGAGCTGGCTCAAACACTGGGAAGAAAGATTCCTTCCATCATCACTGCTGGCTGGTTCTTGACGTCCATGGATTTCTCTGTTATTAGCAAGGACTGAGTCAGACTCACACTGAGGACTGCTAGCTGGTGCTGCTATTTCAGAGGAGCCCAGTTCACATACCTTTAGAACTTTAGACATAGCCCAGACCCTGTGAGGAACTACAGGAATGACTTCTGATTCCTTGCACTCAGAATCTGTCACTTGTCTTGGTGGCCAGATCTCTGAAACAGAAGACTCTAGAGTTATAAACTTCAGCTTGTTGCCCAGTTCCCCAGATCCTGATCCACTCTCTTTAGACTTCTCCAGGAGATCTTTAGAGACAGGCAGACCTTTGCTCAGACCCTGACTGTCTTTTTCCACAGTAGCTTCAGCTAGCATGGAGATAATCGTCCCCAGGCCTGAGCTCTGCCCTTTTTCCTTCCTAGAGTTTCCTGGTGAGTGGTCCAAGGGCACCGAGCTTATTTCCTCTTGTGCAGCAGATGTGGCGGGCAAACTTTCTTGGAAATCATTTTCAGAAACAGAACTCTGGTGGGGCAGGCTCTCTGGGTGGAGCCTCTGCTTTGTTTCACTTCCTTTTTCTTGGAAATTCTCTACAAGGCTCCTGTGGGCTGCTCTGTCCACCATCTGGCTCTTCTCTCCAGACTGGTTACCAAGCTGAATAGGGGAGTCACTAAAGAATCCGTCTCCCTCTGAGATCTTGGAGACATAGGCTTGGGTTCCTGCTACACTGGGCACCATGCAAGGCGGCTCCTTCATAGATTCAGCTGTGGAACCATTTAAAATATGACCCCACGGTACACTGGAAGGAAGTTGGAACACATTTTCATCTGGTGTCTGAGGTGAGCTCTCCTCAGTGACATCTGCATGGTTGTTTTCAGCAACTGAAGCAGCAAGGTATTTGGCTGGGTGGACTTTGGTCACAATGGTAATAGCCGATGTGTCTTTACTCTGCCTGGTAGCCTGAAGATCCTCAGTTTTAACAGTTAATGTTGTTGGTTTCTCCTGAGGAAACATCACAATGGAACTATGACTGATTGGCATGTCCATGGTGTCTCTGACACAGGTACTGGAGCTCTCCTCACCTCTTTCTTTGAATTGCAAAAAAGAGTTGTTCTTAGAAGGAAGAGGCTGCCTTTCTTCAAGCCTTCCTGAGTTGCTGGGGCTCAGCCTCTCCTGGTCAGTCGTTCTTATGCAGTCCAACGTGGAGGTGGAATTCTCCCCCTCTGCTATATTGCCCTCTGTGGCACCTTCACAGGCCCCTTGTGAAATGCTCCAGGTGAATGTGCTGAATAAAAGAGGTGGCATGGCTGAGTTTCTATCCTTGCCATTTTCACATGTGGATTGTGGAGGCTCAGAACTTCGTGCATTAAAAAGGACTTCCAGCATCTCATCATTAACAGAACATAAATCAGATGCTTTGATTTGACCACCCACCAGCTCTAAGTCCATGGAGCAAATTTCTTGAGGCAAATGTCTATCAATTGGTGCTCCCACAGAAGAGTCCATGGTATCACAACATGGTCCTCGGCCACCTGCTTCAAAACCCTCCATGCCACCTGCAGCTTCTCTGCCACTTGGCCCATCACACACATTTTCCAGGGTGAGGACGGTATTTTTGGGTTCAGGGGAAGCCACAGAGGGAGGCTTGGGCTCATTGAGGTCAATGCGGCCATCCAGAGGGACACGCACTATGCCCTTCCAGGGGGACACGTATTCGTTACTGGCTTCTGAGATGTTCAGCACATGTTCCAGGCCTCCCCAGGGGCCACTAGATGTGTTGTCTGCTCTGTCCTGGTCTTGTTCTTCATGTTGTGGGCTTTGAGTACAGCTTTCTACCTCCAGGTATTGGGCCAATGACACGTTTTCCTCGTGGATCCCACCAAAGTTGGGGAGGAAGCTCATTGTGGTCCCAGTGGGTGAGGACTCCTTCCCAGCAGGCTCCACAGACACTGGCATCTGGCTGAGAGAGACTTTCTCCCCAACTCTCTCCTGAATTTGCACCTAGGAAGATGGAAAGCGATATTGAGAGAACTGTTTGTTCCTAGAGAGCCCACAGTGGGTCATAACTGCAATCCCCAGAGTGTTAATCCTCAGTGAAGGTAATAACAGACAGGAGGAGCACGGATGACTGAAATCCAAACATTAATCCCCAAACGCACTTTAGCTCTTACAGACTTCCTGCAGAACTGCAAATTTAGACAACTGTGTGTTCCAGGAGCCTTGGTCAAATTCCCCGTTATAAGTAAAAAGCCTCCTGGCAATCTTAGTTTATATCATTACTTTTTCTCTCTTTCTCAGAAAAAAAGATAGAAATTACAAATCGAATGTTAACTATTATGATCAAGTAAGCCACAACAAGAGCTGTGTGTGCTTTTCAGAACTATGTCACATGATTATAACAAATGGAATATGCAGTGTTTGCAAAGTAGCAGTGACTTACTTTGTCCCAAAAGTATGACACCTTGCTGGTTCAGAATGTTACTAAAGACCAGAGAGGCCTGGCCTTTGAACTTGCCTCTAATGAAACAATGGCGTTATGATTGGTCACTGGCCCTGCCCAGTAGTTCTGACCCAGGTAAGGTTATAAAGACCTTGGGATGCCTCCCCCAGTTTGAAACAGATGCCCCACGGCTGGCAAGCCTGCTCCCAAAAAGTAGGGGATTAAGGACTGCTTAGGCTTCAGAGGGGGAAAAAGGAGGGAGAGAGAGAAAAGAGAGGAGAAAGAGGGAAAGATGGAAAGGAAGGTGGGGGGAGAAGAGCAACAGAGAAAAGAAGGGAGGGAGGAAGGAAAAAGGGAGGGAAAGAGGAAAAGAAATGTCACATTCTGAGAACGGAGCCCATCCTGGTACTGTTTGAATGCTGTGTGATGTTGGCTGTTGTTCAAGGAAGCAGTAAACTCTTTAAACTAACTCTTATCTCTGGAAACTTTCACTTCATTGATTACTTAAAAACAAAACAAAATTATGTCCCAACAAGGAGAAGGGACTTGCTGTAATTTTTGAAAGCAGCAGAACCTTTGCCCCCAGGACTCCTACTTTGGAGCATCCCCATTCAGATGTGCAGGGAACAGGTGGTTGGGCTCAGAGTGAGGAGGAGTTGGAGCCTGCCCTCCCAGTGTACAAGACACAGCCGAAACATTCCTGTACACAGAGCAACCCTAGTCCTGATGTTGACGTCCATAAATCACATGTGAGAATCGTCTTATTACCTTGTGATCAATCTCTGTACATACCACCAGTGGGAAACAAGACAAGAGCTTAACCACATCCTTCTCCTCACTCCCCCAAGGCTGCATGTGACCCCCTCATTTTCTTCTGAAAGCTACCTCTGATGTTCCCTTAACTCAGTTTTCATTGGCACAAAAATGCTACCTGACCTAAGTATATACCCCTAAAGACCTGAAAGCAGGGACTCAAACAGCAATGTTCACTGCAGCACGATTCACAACAGCCAAAAGGTAGAAACAGCCCAAGTGTCCATCAACAGAGGAATGGATAAGCAGCATGTGGTATATACACACAATGGTATGTTATTCTGCCACAAAGAGAAACGCAGTTCTGACACGCAACACAGCACAGATGAACCTTGAAAACATTACACTGAGTGGAGTAAGTCAGACACAAAACAACAAAGACTGTATGACCTCACATATATGGAATATCTATAATAGGCAAATGCATAGAGATAAGAGTGTTGGTGGTTGTGAGGGGCTGGAGGGAGGGAGAAATGGAGAGTTGTTGCTTGAGGGGTGCTGAGTTTCCATTTGGGGTGATGGGAGAGTTTTGGAGATGAACAGTGATGATGGCTGTACAACATGGTGAATGTCATTAATGTCACTGAATTGTACACCTGAAAATGATTGAAATGGCAAGTTTTTGTTATATATATTTTACCACCATAAAGCTAGGGGGAAAAAATCACAGGAGCTGGCTGAAGGGTCTCTCACTGCCTAAAGTTGGAGCATGAAAAAAATTAATGATTAAAACATACCAACAAAAAAGAAAAACGCTAACTGAACAAAAGGAAATAGTATAATTCCCTGTGCTATAAACTCCGTAAGACCTGGAACTGCTCATCAATTCAATGAACATTTTTTGAATGCCTCCAATGTACTAGAGTGTTCCAGGTAATAGGAATACAAAATGGGCAAAATGCTGGCTACATGGAGCTCCCATTCTATGTTGGATTCAATGCCTGTTAGAGAAATTAGCACACAATAGGCGCTCTGTCCACCACTTGTCTGTCAGTTTGTCATACTGTGGTGGCTTGCATGTTGCTACGATGCTGGAAGCTAGCCCACTGATGTTTCAAATATCAAGCAAGCTCACCCACGGTGAACAGGTTTCAGCAGAACTTCCAGACTAAGAAGAAAGGCCTATCGATCTACTTCCAAAAATTAGCCAGAGAAAACCCTATGGATCACAACACAATATTGTCCGATATGGAGCTGGAAGATGAGCCTTCTAGACTGGGAAGTATTACACAATAGCCACAACAATGGGCTCAAACCTACCAACCATCATGAAGACGGCACAGGACCAGGCAACATTTCCTTCGGTAATGCATAAGGTCGACTTGACAGCAACTAACAACAGGTGCTCTGTAAACATTTGTTGAAAGAACGAATAACTGAATGAACTATGCGCCAGCTGAGACAGGTTTTCCCAACTTCACCCACGACGTCTCTAAACTTGAAAGGGTTGGACTTTCATCTGCCTCCCACTTTAAAGCAACCCTATTTTAAAGGAGACGTTTAACCACGAGCAGGGGCACTGCTGTAACACATCCTGGTGTTTCTAAAAAAGAAAAATGTATTTGCTCTCTTTCTATATGCCTCCTCTTTCTCATCACATTAAAATGGAAAGGGGGAAACAAGAAGGATAACTTCTGGGAAATAATGAAACAAGGTTTGGTTTTTTTTTTAAGTGTTGAGGAGTTTGATGAATGTATGGCTTCATCTCTATACCTGAACATCTATCACACATGTAGAGAGTGTTCTTTTCATTTGCCATTGTGGTTCAGGTTTTTTATAAGCAGCTAGAGCCCTGGTGGCGCAGTTGTTAAACACTCGGATGCTAACTGAAAGGCTGGAGGTTCGAACTCACCCAGCAGCTCTGCAGGAGAAAGACCTGGTGATTTGCTTCCATAAAGACGACAGCCTAGCAAACCCCACAGAGCAGTTCTACTCTGTCACGTGGGGTCTCTATGAGTCGAAATTGACTCAATGGAACCTAATAACAACATGGCACAAATATACCAAACTATTAAGCACAAAAAGCATGGGTAGCTTCTTGGTCCTGATTTGAGATGCGTATAAAGACTGCCTAATCAAAAACACCGCTACCTCCCTCTCAGGCTTTCCTACTCTGCCTGAGTTTCCACTACCTGTGTCAGTCAGTCCTTTATTTTAAGGTCCTGCTGTCATCATGTTCTCACAGTGCCAACAGACGTTTATGGAATAGCCTACATGTGTAGAATTCTCTGTCAGGCATGCGGCAATTTTTTCCAAAGGGCTCTGGTTAAAAAGTCACTATGTTACTGACTGGGATAGTATGTTTATTCTTACCCACCTGTCTTAGTTTCTTAGTGCTGCTGTAACAGAAATACCACAAGTAGGTGGCTTTGCAGAACAGAAATTTATTTTCTCACAGTTCTGTGGCTGGAAGTCCAAATCAGGGTCTCGGCTGTGTTGATTCCTCCCTAGGTGTTCCTTGGTTTCTTGGCTTGTAGACAATCCTCACATGGCCTCTGACTTACCCCTGTGGGTATGCCTCTGTCTGTAATGTGTTCTTTTTATAACTCAGAAGTGATTAGATTTAGAGCCCACCCGACTTGAGTATGAGCTAATGAACATAACAAAGAAAACTCTGTTTCAAAACAGAATTACATCCGCAGGTATAGGGGTTAGGATTCCAACACATTTTTTTTCGGAGGTGGGACACAATTTAATCAATAACACATCCCATTATTGATCACTACCACATCAACAGAGTAATAGGCTGGACCTACAAAGGAATAACGTCTGGAGAAGATGGGACCCAGGACAAGTAAGTTTTGATTAGGGTGAGTTTGGCAATTGGGATCTATCATCATAACTGTGGTATCATGCCTTCACTTACAAAATAGTCATATTCCCATTAAGTTTTACTCACTCCATCCCACTCTTGATTTTTGTTTTTGTTTTTTTAAATCCTGCTTTAAAATAACCAAGTGAAGCCTCACATGTAAAGAAATATGATGACTCCTTGACTGTGTAAATCCATCCATTCAACAAACATTTATTGAGAATCAACTGTATACCAGGCACTGTTCTAAGCACTTATGAAACCCCGTCAGTGAACATAACAAAGATTGCTGCCCTTTTGGAAGTTATGTTCAAGCAACAAACCATATGATTGGTCCACCACTGATGTGAAATTCCATAAGTTTGACTTTAGCCAACGGGATTTCTCAAAGGAGTCTTTAACAGCCTGGTACGTACAAGTCAAGGCCTGCAGCATCCGTTCCAAGGACAGGTTCCTGGAGCCTTATTTAGAGGTCAGCTCACACAGGAAAACCACAGACTCACATCTTTTACATGAGTCAGACCTTTCTTCTAAGAGTAGATCTCTTCTTAAGAAAAAACTCAAGCAAATGATTCTTACGCGGCTTCTCTACTCTTGCAAGGGGTGAGTGGTGAGACTCAGAAGTTTTGTTGTGTAGGGAAATTGTTCTTTTTCGGGTGGAAAGGAGGAGGGCATGGGGCTCTAGTTGGAAGGCCAGCTTAGTATGTGGACTTGGAGGACTGAAGATCCAAGTTTGTAGCCCAGCTTCATCTGATATTGCATACCTGACCCCGGGTAACCTCTTTGGCCTCTCTGAACGTCTGTCTCCTCCTCCAAGGCTAACCACATGCATGTCAGGGCTATCATGTCAAGTGCCTGGCAGACTGCCCAGTGCCCAGGAGGTACTCTATGACGTATTAGTCCCCTGGTTCACGGTAAAGACACTAGTAGCTCAGG